CCAGTGGGGGAAAGGTGTAGGGAACCTTTGAAGGCATCAGGGAACTCTGGCAGGGCTGGTAGCACAGGGGCTGGTTGGTGTCTGTTCTCACAGGGGGTGAGTGGCTGCTGAGGGGAGCGGGAGGGGGCCATGGCCAGGGTGGGGGTGCCACAAGCCTCCCCTACTCTTCTCTCCAGCCCATGCCAGGGCCAGATGCACTCCGCTCCTGCCTGCATGAATCCGAGCCACTGTGCTCTGGCCCGGTCAGGACAGAGACAGCTGAGGCCCCTCTGGCAGGGGTGGAGGGTGAGGGGCACCAGCAGGGATGGGGATGGTGAGTTGCAGAGCAGGAGTGAGGGGCATCAGTGTGGGGGAGGGCGGCCCAGGGTGGCAGGGTACTGCAATCTGAGAGTGAGGGCCACTGGCAGGACTGGAGTCAGTGGGTTGGGAGTGAGGGGCAGCAGTAGAGCTGGGGGTGGGGTGGTCTGTGGCTCAGCAGTGAGGGACAACAACAGGGGCAGGGCATCGGCATGTCACTGCCCCCCCACCGTCATATTCCGCTCCCCCCCATGTGTGACAGGTGGCTTCTTTTTTGGACCTGGAAATATGGTAACCCTACCTTTCCCCCTCCCCAAAAGAGTCCCCCACAGTTCCATCATGTTCAGTTGGTTACTTTGTCCCTGTTGACATTGCCTGGGGACACTAAGGTGGTGAAGGTTGGGTAACTTCTTTAAAAACACTTAAATCCCCTGTGTTCTCTACCATGCTTTTCATTCAAATTGTCCTTTGTTCCTCTCACTAGTTCAGATTCATTAGCTTAAAGCTAGGTGAATCTCCTGTGATAGTATTAGGCTTTTAGCACCATCTTGTGGAAGCCTATTGGTTGAAGATCTTTGAAAATTAACTGTCCTTCAGAGTCAGGGGTCCTGCAGTTTCCTTCTAGAATTAATTTTCGTACTGCAACCCCATTCAACCAACTTATTCTGCTAGATAAAGAAATTGTGTATGTAATCAAAACAACAGTTAATATTAATAATATTTTTGTTCCAAATTGTCTGTATGATGTCAGAATGCCATTTGTATTTTCCCTAGTGCTCTTATGTGCCCTCTGCGGAGAACCTCACTTGCTTCTAGTATAAGATAATGACAAAACAAACGAGAATTTTTTTTCTATTACTAAGATGCTTCATGTCCTTATGCTCACCTTTCCCCCTTTTTTGCAATTGTTCTGTCTTTAGGGTGTACTGTCTGATATAACAAAGGTAACCCGTCTCCACGGCTTTGATCCAGTAGTGCTTGTCTTGATTGTTGGAGTAGTGATGTTCACCCTGGGATTTGCTGGCTGTGTAGGAGCACTGAGAGAGAACATCTGCCTTCTGAAGTTTGTAAGTAACATAAAGGTGGTTCGAGGTGAGTCGGTGTTCAGGGAAAGAAGAGATGACTTGTAAAACTGCTAGGCAAAATCAGAATTGAATTGAGCCCAGGTGTATGTGGTAAATGTTTCCACTAACCTGACTAGAGAATGATATTCAGAACAGTAGTACACATGCACTTTTTTTTTCTTTCTCTGTGAAATGTTCCTAATGCTGTTTAGGTTCTTGTGAAGATATTTTCCAAAATAAATTGATACTAGAAGTCTCACTGCAGCTCATTGTACATCTAATTAATGGCTTTGCTGCAGGGGGACCGCCCCCCCCCCCCCCCCCCCCCC